AACTTTTATAGATGTTGAGGAGGAGTGATTGACAGATGTTTTGTTTGTATGTTTGTTTGTTTTTGGACACCCTGGGTAAAATGTTAACATGGTATTCTTTCAAAATGGTAATTCAAAAGTCCCTACCTATAGCTGACTTGAGCACTCAGGTGCGTGTGTGTGTGTGTGTGTGTGTGTGTATGTGTGTGTGTATTTTGGCTGATACAATTTTTTTAAGTTTATTTATTTACTTTGAAATAGAGAGAGAGTGGACAGAAGAGGGGCAGAGAGAGGGAGAGAGAGAATCCCAAGCAGGCTCTGCGCTGTCAGTGCAGAGCCAGACACTGGCCTCAAATTCACAAACCATGAGGTCATGACTGAGCTGAAATCCAGAGTTGGATGCTTAACTGACTGAGCCATGCAGGTGCCCCTCAGCTGACACAATTTTTAAGATTCTGAATTGCAATGGATTTAGACAGTCATTTACTCTAGTTTTTAGACAGACCAAATTATAAATATGACTTTACAACCAGCTTTATTTCATTATGGTACATTCCTGGCCTCTGAAGGTTATGAGTTTTTGAGACCTCTGAGATATCTTTAAATATCTGGTTAAAATTTATTTAGAATAGAGACGGAAGGCTATGAGGAAGAAAGCCCCTCTCACCTCTACAACCCAGAGCAGTTGAGTTCCAGTCCCAAACTCCTACAGATAGCTCAATCAGCAATCCAAAAGCTATGCAATTACCCTGACACCCACTGGGGAGAAGAAATTTAGCAATGATTTACCGTTATTCTAGAATGCTGTAGGCCTCTCCCACCTGTTCCCCTCTCTACCAAAGTTGCTTTCTGAAAATGTTTCTTCTAACGACACACAGTTCCCTCCCTGAGAATTCTGGTGAGTGAATTGCCTTCAACTTGCCATCTTTCGAGAGATATTTTGGCACCATTATGAGACTGGCACCTCGAGGTCATGTGGCTCCATCCTGATATTTCTAATACCGCATGCTGTCAGTGCATAGGAGCACTGCAGAGGGGGAAGGTTTTGAGAAGGAAATAATGAGTACAATTAGTACATGTAGAATTTGAATCACTAGTATGTCGTCCATGTGGATGGCTCAGAACAGGAAGACCACCACGTCCTGTGTCCTGAGGAGGGACAGTCAAAGTGGATTCACGTCAAGTCCTGCTGGACATGCTGGGTCTGGATATATGCGCACAAAGCCGTGTTCCGAGCAGGATGAGAATCACTGACAAATGCGCGAACAGACTTCAGGGAGCGAGGGGGATGGTTCAGGTCTGTATGTGACCTAGCAGGTGACTTCTGTGTCACCCCAACACTGCTTTTTCTAAAGCCTCCCATGATTTTAGAAAATAATAGAATGATACAACCCTCGGAGGTTAGCAACCTCATAATTTAGTAGGGTTCTCTATAGCAAGTACAGCCGATTTTTAAATCTTTAAACCAATGCAACCAGCAATGTCAGCAAAGCCACTATAGCTGCTGCTCATTTAGCCTGTAATTAACAACTCTTCCTGGTTAATAGCAAAAAATCTGACTAATGAAATGCACTGGCACTGGGTTTCTATCTAAGGTAATTTTGAAACTCTATAGTGAGCATCAATTGTTAGGAAACAAATGATTTTTACCTACTTCTTTTACTTAGATCTTAATCTTTTCCAACTGCCCTCTAGGGCAAAAGAGCTCTCCATTGTGCCTCAGTTCATACAAACAAGCTAAAAGAAACATACACATTAGATTATAAAAGGGTGGCTTCTTAAATGGTTTTGAACTATAAATAATCATTAAAAAGTGACTTTCTCAATTCAAAATGTAGGCGTTACACTGTATATATAGTGACAAAAAAACTGGAAACAACCTAAATATCTAAAACAAGAGAAAAGTTTTAACGAATTTGATATGTTCCCATTATGTTATGCTCTGCAATTTTATTAAACATGATTTTACAAAGAGTTTTAAACAGTAAGAGAATATTCTTATGAAATAAAAGTCTGCTTGATGCAAATTGTTGCATAGTGTGTAACAAGTAGCTAAGTGAAATGTTTGCAGTGTTTTCTCTGGTTGATGAGATCAGGGGTGATTTTTAAAAATTTTCCTTTTTTAATATCATACTCACGCTACTTTTATAATGAGGACAAAAATAAGCAACCCAAAGTTGTCTTTTCTACAAAGCCAATGGGGTTTTCCCCATGCCTAAGAAACACATCCCAAGTTCTACCCTTGTAGAACAAATATGAAAGGGGGAGAAAGGATTTTCTCAAGTATATTGATATTGTTAGAAAATGCTTATCTAATCCAAACACAGAACCAAAGGAAATGCATAAACATTGACTATTATAAGGACATGCATGTACACAATCCTTCCTCCTCAAGTTTTAAGCAAAGACTCGCTGCTACACGAAATTGGCTACTTGGAATACAACAAAAAGGAGACACAGGGCAGGGGTCCCTGTCATTTCCAAGATTAGTGAGGATTATCATCACCAATATGTCAGACCCCTCTCCTTGAAAAAAAAAAGGGGGGGGGGGATGAAGAGTCTGTATCAGTTTTTACAAGTTCTTAAGGAAGAGTATCACCAGCCCATATAGTATAGACTAAAAGTCTATTACAATAATCGAAGAACACTAACATAACTAGAAATTAAAACAGGGTCTTGAAGTGGTCCCTTGGGAAACAGGTTTTTGTGAACCTCAACTGGATAAAGCTATTCTCCTCCATCACCACTAATTGTGTAGTAGAATGAAAAAGCTAAAAAAGTGATAACGCAGGTATTTCTTCCATGCAATGAAAAACAGTATTCTCTAATTCAAACACAGAATCACTGTGTAAATACTTATCGGTGAATAATGTATTATAAGCTCATAAACAGGGATTGCCTCTATCGAGCGAAGTTTTAAGAGCAATACCCCATTATATTATTTACATTGTAAAAACACAGTCTGTGTGAAAAGTAAATTTTTCTCACAAAGAATACCTTTAAAACATATCTAAGATTGTTAGATACGGTATAAAAGGCCAAATAACAACCTGAACATGCTAATAGCTAAATAGCTAAATAGTTAATAAGAAGTTGCAAAAATTGTGCACTGGCACTCTCATAAAATATTTGAGTAAAGACTTATGCCGATGCTTCATTAAAGAAATGAAAAACTAGGGGCGCCTGGGTGGCTCAGTTGGTTAAGTGTCTGGCCGAGGCTTCAGGCCATGATCTCGCGGTTCGTGGGTTCGAGCACCGCGTCGGGCTCTGTGCTGACAGCTCAGAGCATGGAGCCTGTTTCAGATTCTGTGTCTCTCTCTCTCTCTGACCCTCTGCTGCTCAGGTTCTCTCTCTCTCTCTCTCAGAAAAAAATAAAACATTAAAAAAAAAAGAAATGAAAAACTATTTGATAATGGCTAGTAAATTCAAAATAGAAAAAGCAAACCCACTAGAATAGTTTCAAAACATTTAAGTGCTATCATTATTTATTTAAAAATAAACTGACCATAGACTTAAATCTTAAATGGCTTTATGAAAATGCTATATTTTGTAATGATGGGGATGAGAATCTTATTAATGGTTTTCTAAAATGAACAGTAGGAAGGGTTTATCAACTGTATCGTTTATCAACAATATGGGAATATCATATTAACTTGTAAAACTTCACAAAGGACCTACTAAGATCTTCAGTAGACCTACTTCTTAGTTTTGCAATCTTATGAACGTGACAGCTAAAACGAAATAGACCCAAATTTTACATGGACATAAAACTACAAATTGTTGATAATGAATAGTTTTATGCTAGTAGACTCTTCTTGAGATTACCTTGATTTTCGTGATATCTGTTTCTATTAGCATGATCATAAAGCCAGTAAAAAAAAATCTACCAGATTTTTCTATTTTGGTTTAGAGTTTGATTGGAAAATTTCAGAAAAACATGCATGAGTTTCAACTTTATTTCTAACACTCTCCTTTCCCTGCTGCCTAATTCCACGTTCTCTGACTCAGAGACTATTTGGAGAGGACACCTGTTTTAAATGGATCCACAGGAAATACCTATGTTGTCTTTTCATAATCTGACCCTGCCTCTGGTTGGCTGAAATGTGATCATGGTTTAAAAAAAAAAAAATGCTGCCCACAGACTGAGGCAACTTCACTGTGACAACATTTACTGGAAGGCAGAGGGAATCCAGTTTATATTTATTTTCCTTCCATTAAGCCCTGCTTTTGTACAGTAGGAAAAAATAAGTAAAAGAGCAATACCGTTTAACCCTCAAAAGATTAGTATTGAATTACAAACCCGGGTTTTGCTTCCCAACTCCGACCGATTTGTTTTGAAGCTAAAAGCAATCTCGAGGCAGAAACCGTTATCTGACACTCCTCTCTCATAACCTTTTATTTATAAACCTCTCGCCCAAAGATCATAGTCTGTCCTGTTGTATTATATATTGACATGCTATTTATAAACCTCCTGGGAAAAAGCACAGGGCAGTCCATCCGCTGGAACAGAATTCATACGGGAATTTCATAGTGATTAACTGTGGTCTATCACTAAAAATCCGGCTGGGTTCAAACCAAATAGTCACTCGGGAGCCACGGGCGCGCGGGTTTACCCCCCACGTCCGGGCCTCCACCGGTCTCAGCGCTGATCACCCGCCTTGGCCAGCAGCAACCACCTCCGCTGCCATCCCCGCGTTTGCGACGTCTGTCCACACTGGGGTCCCCTCCGTCAGGGCAGGTTCCCGCCCTCCCGCCCGTCCTCTGCGAACCACGCTCCCTCTCCGGCCGGCAGAGGCCCCCCCGCCGCGGCCCTGGGGAGCGGCGCGCACTTCCGGAGCCCTGGTCACCCTCGGAGGACGCCCACCCACCCGGGGGACGCCTAGGGGGCGCCGGGCCGGGTCCCCCGGGGGCCCTCGAACGCAGGAGCAGAATGACGGAGATGACGACGGAGCTGACGCCACGCCGCCCGGCCGCGGCTGCAGCCAGTGCCCGCCGACGCCGCCCCGCCCGCGCAGGTCGCCGGGCGCCGGCGGTCGCAGGTCCCGCGGGGCGCGCCCGCCGCAGACCCCGCCCCGCTGCGCCCCGCCCCGCCCCGCCCCGCGGCGGCCACTCCAGGGTTCCCCCGGCGCCCGCCCCCGCGCGCCCTGCGCCGCCCGCCCTTCCCGGCCGCCGCCCCGCCTGCCAGGCCTTTAGCGAACATGGCGCTTGTCCCGTGCCAGGTGCTGCGGGTGGCGATCCTGCTGTCCTACTGCTCTATCCTGTGCAACTACAAGGCCATCGAAATGCCCTCGCATCAGACCTACGGCGGGAGCTGGAAATTCCTGACGTTCATTGATCTGGTAAGGCCTTCCGCTCCCCTCCCCCGCCCGCCCTGCACCCCGAGTCTGTGTGTGTGTGTGCGTGCGTGGGCGCGCTGGCACCTGCGCGTGCCTCCAGCCCCGACCCGTGTCCTCGCCTGTCCGCCAGTGATTGCGTCTAAAGGCCTGGCTGCCCCCGCAGCAGCACCTCTGAACCATCCGTTCGTTACCTGGTAGCTGGGGCCCGAATGGAGGTGGGCACAGCCAGGTGGTGGGCTATTTGGAGGGGAACACAGACCAGCTTCTAAGAGGTGACACGGAAAGAGTCTCAACTAATGGATCAGACGACCTTGATCATGAGTGGCCTCAGACCCATTCGCCCTCAGCGTGCTTCCCAGAGCACCCACCGCGGGATCAAGTTGCAGCAGCTGAAAGAAAACTGGGTATTGTTGAATTACTTGGAGCTTCCTCTGTAAGAACCAAAATCCACGTAAAGAAGAGAAAGCGCCTAATAAAGTTGTCTTCTTTGCATCTGTTTTCTTACCCATTGTCAGTAATTGACTCCTAGCCTTTCTCCCAGAAACATTAGGGGAGAGGTTTTCAAAATGCATTTCCAGTATGACTTTACACTTCTTATCTTTTCCCCTGATTGTCTGCGGTGGTTTGCATAAACAGTTCTGATGATACAACAGCATAACCTTGGCAGTTGCACTTGGTCGAGGTTTTTTTGTTGTTGTTTTGGTTTGGTTTGGTTTTTTTTTTTTTTTTGGTTTGTTTTTTGGAAGAGAAGCTTATCCACTTCTGGCACCAAAAAGGCCAGAGCATCAAAACATGAGCATAAGACCCAATAATGACATGGGGTGAAATCTAGGAGCTTAGGGGTGAAAGTTGACTCATTTAGACTGTGTGGAACACACTCTAAACAATGACCAAATATAGGAAGAAGGTTAGAACAAATCAAGGAGTTCCAAAGACTAGAGAAAATGTAGAAGCAATCCCTGCCTATCCAAGAACTGCCCATCCAAAATTATATATGAGATTGGCTGCACAAGCAAGATTATAATCTTTCATTGTTGACCCTCCATTGTGATGAAGAAAACATGATGCGAGTTTTAAGATATTTGCAAAGGTTTAGGATTCCCCAAAGAAATGCAGTCAGAGGGCTTTTTGTTTAAAATACCATTTTATATTTGTTTCACATTAGATGCTTTCAAAGAATTTAAGTATCTTTTCTCAGCAGTTTCCGAACTATGCACATACCCTTGGGCGACAAGACTTTTCAGGGCAGAAGGGTGTTTCACGGGTTTCAGTTTTCAGATCCTCAACTTCCATCTCTTTCTTGAAACTGATCTGCCTCTGAGCATGGATTATGTCTGCTAGTTCTCCTTTCTTCCTCATTCATCCAAGGGATGAGCACACGACCAGGCTCTGTGCCGTATTTATCTGTTCCTTTTAGCATTCTGAATATAGATTGTCACCAAGACTGTCTTCACAGTTGATTGAAAAACGAAGTCAGACTTGTTTTGACAGAAAGTCTTATTGGGTTGATTGGCTTGTCAATGAGGATTGGCTGTGCCAATTATGTTATATAGCAGACATTTTCCATAGATTGAATGAGTGAAATCTGCAGCCCCGAGGTTCTGATAAATATGTATCAGCATTCAAAATCATGTTCCTTTTTCAAGTGTTTAAACTTAAGTTAAAAATGTTTAGATGTTATTTTAAAATATGTGCATAGATTTTCAGGATTCTTTTAGGGGCTGCGTGAATAAAATTCCTCTTGGATCACTACCTTATCGCATTCCTTAATCAGATCTCACTGAGCTGGCCCACTCGTGTGTTGCCAAGGAGCAGTGCTGAGCTGAAATAGTGATGGAGACCCTACTAGGGCCATGGAAACTATGAATTCAGAAGTACCTTTGCATTAAGAACAGTTTTGGGGAGGGGGCAAGAAAGGGGGTCAACAGGTAAGAGGGGTAAAATTTGAGAGTGTCAATTAACCTGTGAGAGATGACTACTCAGGTTGGCGTTGCTTACGTATGTTAGAAAACAAGGCCCTCAAGAAACAGTATACCTCTCAACCTTTGTGTGACATGATACCAGAGTAGAGCCAATTTGACTCTATTTGAACTGCTACGCAGTTTATACTTTAGCATTTGATGATTGGACATGCCTGTTTTAAATATACAATCACCACAAATATGCCTTTGCCTACTAGAATTCAGGCAATAAACTCAAACTTGATTCTGTTTGTTTCATATTTAGATTCAGTTTGCATGGGGCCTTCAAGCCAGTTGTTCAAACTTTTTACTTTCTGTGACTTCTGATTGAAATAGAGTAACTATCTTTAATCCAAAGTTCCTATGAGGAACCATGTCTAGAATAGTCTCTTAAACATCCATGCAAAGTACTATTCTTTTAATTATTAGAGATTTAGAGTCTTTAGAGTTTAAGCATGGTACAGCTGTTGAAACAATCAACCTGTCCGCTCTGAGTAATGGCAGGAAAAGATTAGGCGACTCTTAATTTACCTATTTGACTTTTAATTTTTTTTGCGTGTTTAAAACAAACTGTAAACTTTACTACTCCGTGCCTTGGACAAGTTTAATGATTCGAAGCTCATTAGAGCAATTTTGGAGGAGGGATTTGCTTCTGAAACTTTAATGAGAAGGCCCTTTTCCTAACCAACCTGGATTGCAGAACCAGGACATTATCCTGATTCTATGTTCCTCAGCCTCAGTTTGCTAGAATGTAAGCCAGGAATCTCAGGGTGCATGTAGGTGCATTCCAGCTATATCCCTGTCTTCCTTTGAGTATTAGAGTCATCCCAATAGAATCAGAGCTCATGCTTAAAAACTGAAACACAAGTTACTTCTATCAGTAATCCCTACAGTGTTCTTCCCCAGGAACAACTTCTCCCTGCATTGCAAAACTATAAGAAACCTACAGTGTTTCAAAAATTCAAGTTAGTAAATAGAAATGGAACACCGCCTTCATGCGGTAGGCCGACTAATGAGTCCTCCAAGATGTCTACATCTTAATCTTTAGAACTCATGAGTATGTTAGGTGACATGGCAAAGGGAAATTAAGGTGGCTAGTCGGCTGACATTAAAATAGGGAGGCTATCTCAGATTGTCCATGTGGCCCAATGTCATCACAAAGGTTCTTAAAATGGAAGGAGGCAGAAGGGAAGAATCAGTTGGAAGAAGATGTGTCTATGGAAGAAAGTCACAGAGAGACGCAACCTTGCTGGGTTGGAAGGTGGAGGAAGGGGCCAAGAGCCAAGGAATGTGGGAAGTGTCTAGAAGCTGAAGAAAACAAGGAAATAAAGTCTTCTCTGGAGACTTGAGAAGAAAGGCTGCATCTGACAGTCCTGGTGACAACTTGATTTTTAGCCCAGTGAGACCCACTGCTGGACTTCTGACCCCCAGAACTACAAGATAATAAATTTGTGCTGTTTATGTCACTAAATTTATGGTAATTTGTTACAGCAGCGATAGAAAACTAGTACACTTGGCTTTAAATCCTCTGACCCAGAAAAAAACTTAAAATGCTGTCGTACTTATACAGTGACTCAACTAGCACTTCATGTGTATTAGATAACTGGCTAATCTTAGCTTTAACCGAAATGCAGGTCTTTGCCTACTGCATCTGATATGAAACTAACAATGGGCGCTATGAGAGTCTATAAAAATTGAACAAGATGGGAAAAACTAGGTCTTTTCTTCACTGTGACGTTATGCAACATGTCGTGCCAGAAGCAGGAACACTCTCTGAACTGGAAAAAAGCTAGAAGGAAAGAAAATTGAAATGAACCAATGTTTAAGTATTTCCTTAACCAGTATCACAGCTGATTAATTTTCTTGAAATGATGCAGATCCATTCACTTACTCGCTGATTAAAGGATAATTCTCCCATTTATACAGTAATTGCTCCCAAAGACGGCAAAAATGAAGAATTAGAATAAAACCAGAGTAAATAAATTAAAAGAAAAAGGCAGCGTTTGTTGAGACTTCAAAGTAGTGGTGGAGTATAATAAACATTTGTAAACATTTACAAATGTTAGTAAACATTTGAATAAATCAAACTTTCCAAATATTCAGTGAGTTTTCTTGTCCTATTTCTTCCTAAAATTTTGAGTGTAATAGGGATTTTTGAAACATATCAACCAAAATTATATTCAGATGTATATGGTAGAATGTCTAACGTGAGTCAGAATCAACTTCTTTGAAAAACATGAACTTCACATTTATTATATAAAAATACTGATACTGAACTTGAGACATTTTGATTTTTTTAAAACACTTTTTAATGTTTATTTATTTTTGAGACACAGAGAGGCAGAGTGCAAATGGGGGAGGGGCAGAGAGGGAGACACAGAATCTGAGGTAGGCCCCAGGCTCTGAGCTGTCAGCACAGAACCTGACGTGGGGCTTGAACTCACGAACCACGGGATCATGACCTGAGCCCAAGTCAATCACCCAACTGACTGAGCCACATAGGCGGCCTGAGCCATTTTAATTTTTAAAGATTGGCACAGAAATAGGCTATTCCATTTGCTCTAATTTGTAGTGTTCACCATCTTGAGGGTTCTAGTTTCTTAGGGTTCCATGATATTCTTTGTTTCTCTTGTACTGACTTAATTCATGCATGTACAGACGACCCTGCTTTCCCAAAGTGTGGTCTGAGGACCAGCTGGAGAAGAGTGACCATACCCGGAAGTCCATTAGAAATGTGGAACATCAGCCTCCACTCTCAACCTTCTGAATATAATCCACACCCTTTTTTTTTTTTTTTTTTTTAAAGTAGGCTGAATGCCCAGCGCAGAGCCCAGTGTGGGGCTTGAGAGATCAAGACCTGAGCTGAGCTGAGATCAGCTGTTCAGATGCTTAACCGACTGAGCCACCCAGGTGCTCCTGAGAATCCACACTTTTAATAAGATCATTATGTGACTCCTGTGCATATTCTAGTTTGATAAATGCTGCTCTAGGCCACACGGGTTTTGTTTTGTGGTTTAACATGGAATAGCTTAAAGGATGCAG